ACCTAATAGTAGCCATCACAGATGGCTTCGTGCTGTCTTGGAGCTGAGTCCTAGATTTGCTTCTCATTAGCTGTTTGAGGATGGGCAATTTCTTTGCCTCCCTGAGCCTCAATTTTCTTATCTGAAAATTGAGATAATGACAATGATCTCATGGAGGTGTTGCAAGAGTTAGGTGAGATAATACAGGCAAACTGCCCAGTGCAATGCCTGCACATGGTTGATGGTTCTTATCTCTTAGTTGAATTGGAATCATTTATTTAGTCAGGGTATTTACTGAATGCCTACTTTGTAGGAGGAATCTCTTTTTGATTTAGTAGCTTGCAAAGTTAAGAATGATGAAAGCAGGTCCTGGGAGTTTGTATTTTTCTGACTGTGCTTGCATGTGCACACACTTTGTGTGTGTGTGTGTGTGTGTGTGTGTGTGTGTGTGTGTGTGCGTCTTTCCCGAGGTAGGTCTATTTCCCCTTTACTCTTTGAGGGAGGAGGAGGAGAACTCCATTCAGCCACAGCCACCATCTGAAGCGCCTTGGGTGTGAAGGGGCATTAGGAGCTGGTGGAGGGGTTTTGGGGAGGTGCGACAGAGTTGCTAAAAGGTCTGGTTCCACCTGGAGCAAGGATGCTGGGCATGCCAAGGTCTAGATGGGTGCGTTGTGGAATGAGTTGGCAAGGTACCTGATAGCTGTTACCTTGGATACTTAGGTGACCAGTATGGGGCACTGGCTCTAGGAACAGGGTAGGGCTTGACTGGAGTCCACCAGAATTTGGGAGAAGTTTACTCACTTAATGCCTCTTGGGAGGTTTACAACAGTGGCTTTCTGCTTGGTCTGGCTTCTTCCATTGCAAGAAGAGTGAGACAGTTCTTCCCTGTGTTGGCGCCTTTCTCTATTCCACAGATCGCCAATGCCACTTCCCAGGGCTCAGCAAGACAGAGCTTAGAGCCAATCAATGCCATTTCTATCCTAGTTCACCTAGGCTAGGTGGACTATTTTGATGGTATCAAGCCTCCTTAGGGCAGATGAGGTTCTCTTGTTTCCCTTCTCTTAAGATATATCTGTGTACCCTTAATCACCTGGGGAAAGAAGGCAATGATGATGGAAGGACTAATGTCTATTGATTGTAATACTTACAAAGAGTACAGGCTTGAACCTCAAAAGGCTGTGCCAGTTATTTAGCTTGGTGACCCTGAGCTACGTGTGCAACCTCTTTGAGGTTCAGTTTCTTAACTGATTAAAATACACATAATAAAACCTACTGTATTAGCCCATTCTTGCATTGCTGTAAGTAGCCAAGACTGGGTAATTTGCATATATTGGATACAATATATATATTGGATACAATAATTTGTTTTTGGATACAATATATTGGATACAATATATATATTGGATACAATAATTTGTATCCAATTAAAAAGAGGTTTAATTGGATCACGGTTCTGTGGGCTGTACCAGAAGCATAACACCGGAATCTGCTTCCTGGGAGGCCTCAGGGAGCTTTTACTCATGGTGCAAGGGCACAAGTACTTCACATGGCAGGAGCAGGGAGGGAGAGGGAGAGGGGGCGGGTGCTTCACACTTTTAAATGACCAGAATGCCTTGTGAACTCAAGAGTAAGAGCTCACATATCACTAAGGGGATGACCCAAGCCATTCATGAGGGATCTGTCCCTACGACCTAAACACCTCCCACCAGGCCCCACCTCCAACACTGAGGATCACATTTCCACATGATAGTTGGGTGGGGACAAATAACCAAACAATATCACCCAGCTGATGGGATTGCTGTGATAACTAAATGAGATGATACATGTCATAGCTTTGCAGTGCTTCTGGCACAAAGCAAGCTCTTGGAACATGCATGGTACTTTGTATTTATATAGATATTAATGCCTTTTAAAACCTTCGTGCTGAACCTGTAAGGTAGGCATTTTAATCTTAAGTTGAGACAGGAAAACTGAAGTTTATAAATGTTAACTCCCTTGTTAAGGTCACATGGGTAATAGCCTATACCGTAGAGCCAGAGATGGAACCCAATTCCGACTTCAAGGCCCAGCCATTTCCTAAGACATCGAGTCTTACCACCCTTAGAATTTGGGAAACCTGCAGGAACTTTTTGGAGCTCTAGTCCCTTGGAATTGAGGAGGGGTTTGGTCCTAGAGCTGATGTAGGGTTGGGCAGGCTCCAGAGGGCAACTTCTATGGGATGTGTGAAGCAGGGCATCAGGAGATGTGTGGCTCCTTGACCACAGGCCATTTTACTCAGGTGACTTGCAGCAGCTGCACCTAAGGGCCGGTCTGACCCCAGAAGTTGAGATAAGAGGTCTTTTCTAGGGCCAGAGAAAGATACGGGGTGAGGGGTCCTAGAACAAGGCCATTTCTCTGCTTTTCCATGACATCGATATTTCGGGCACCGCTGTGATTACGAGTCCTGGCTAGTGTTCAGGTTGGAATAGGTACAAGGCCGAAGAGCCTTGACTGTTTCTTGCTCAGCCACTGATTTGTGAGTGTGTTGTTTACTGACCTAAGTGAGGGTGTGTGTGTCTGTGTGAGGGGTAGCCTAAGAAAATAAAAGGAGAGGATAACCAGAGCTGATAGTCAGGTTGAGAAATGCCCCAGTTGATGGATTAAAAAGATGCAGACCTGCCTCATTTGCATGTCATTTAAATAGCATTAGTTGCGCTTCAAAATATGTGGTTCTCCCCCTACTGCTGTGCTAAACCAGCCTGGCGATATTTCAGGTCTTGATTCCAGGGCCTGAGAGTCAGGCACAGCTACCACACGTGGAACAGATTAATAGGAAGAGAAGTCCTGGGGCAGAAACTGGGTCTAGCTCTGTGTCGGCCACTAACTCAGGTAAATTTCTGTCTTCTTCTCTTGTCTGGAAAACCCACAAGAGCAGAATATCCTAAGCATCGAGTGCAAAAACATTTTTTTTGAATAAATGAGTGTTTTTAAATAAATGAAAACAACTCTGGACAAACCACTTTTCCTTCCTGGATATGGAGGAGAAGATAAGGTGTCTACTTTTGACCAATAGTTTTAATTTTGGGGGCTGTGGACAGCTGTGGACATGTCACAAGAAAAATGACCACACCATGACTTGTCATACATCATTTCAGGGGCTTTTTAGACCCATTTGGGGTCGATTCTTGAACCCCTTGGTCAAGGTTAGAAACCCTTGGGCCAAAAAAGGCTGAAAATCCTTCAACTTTCAGATTTCGGAGTATCCTACCCCACATGGATCTCTAGGACATGGGAATCCAAGAGAAGGGGCACACTCATGTATTTTTACTGGCTCCCACTATGTGCCAGGTGCTCATCTGATCTTCACAAGATAAGGTAGGAGTAATGATTTCTTTTATAGAAGTGAGGAAACTGAGGCTCAAAGAGAGTATGCCCCAGGGTTACAGAGCTGTGAGTGACAGAGATGGGATTCGAATCCAAGCCTTTGGCTCCAGAGCTGTTCTCTTTCTCCAGGGTTAACATTGTTTCTCAGTTGTGCCAATTAGCTTTCCTCTTCCTGCCCACCACGTTGGCCCCCTGGACTAGGAGGGCTACGTACTTGTTCCCCACCCATCAAGTGGCCGTCTTAAGTGGGAGCTACTGGTTGGGGTGAGCCCAGGGTGGTCGAGTATGTACAGGGTAGGTGCCTGAGGCCAGGCAGGGAGGGTCTGGTGTGCATAAGTGGCATGGGTGGGCTGCACTTGAACTAGCTGAGCTCTCCTCCCCAAAGTGGAGAGAAGAATGGGGACCTTGATGTTGTAACTTCCACACATCCCTACTCCCTTTCCCTCCTTTTCCTCCTTGCTTTTACCTAACAAGAGCGAAGTTAACAATTTACCTAACAAGATCTAAACAGTCAGGGACTGTTTAGACAAAATTCTTCCCAGCTCCCATCTTCCCAGCATCCCAGGTTCTTGGAGGCATGAATTCCTTGCTCAGCCCCAGCAGGAGGGACCAGGCCTGGGAGCCTGACTTGGTTTCTTACTTCTTTAGAGTAGGGAGCCCCACTCCATTAGTCAGCCTGAGGTTGTTCTGCAGAGGTCTAGAACCCCACGTGGTGGGGAAAATGCCCAATATGAAGGCACCTGTAGCAGCAGCTGTCCCAAATGGTTCTTGCCTCTTTGCCACCCTCTCTCTTGTCCCCTCAGTACCTGTACCCAGAAACACATCCCGAAGGTGAGGTCAGGGTGGGGAGCCCAGCTGCTTTGGCTGCGTAGTTTTCTTAGGGGCAGAGCATGGTAGATTGTGAAGGGGTAAAACTAAAGATCTTTAATAGGAGACCTGGGTGTTTGGGTGTTTGGAGTATGGAGGTGCTCAGGGATGGGATGTGCCTGCTAGTGGCTGAGGCACCGATTTACTTGCAGTCATACTCCACACCATGGCCTCTTTTGAGCCTTCTAAATTTTGGGGAGCTCAGGACTAGAGTAGCCCTCAGAGGAAATCAGAGAGATGTGCCTCAGCAGTGTGTGTGTGTGTTAGGATCTTCTCCAAGGAGGTGCTGCTGCATCTCCATCTCAGGAGGCCCAGATAGACATTCTCCTCACTTGAGAGTTGGGAGCATGGTTGGTCCAGACCCCTGGGCCAGCAGTAATGGGCAGAGGTGGGGGTGGGTTTGAGGACAAGGTCTGTAAAGGTGGGTGTGGCTGCATTTAAATGATTTCCAGACTATGTTTGGTCTTCAAACTGGGTACCCCACCCTCAAACATCCTCCAGCTCCACAGAGGATACAGGAAGTGTTGATGTAATCGGGGAGATCTCAAATGCACGCACCCACCGTCCCATCCACATGCCCTGCCTTGTATGCCTGGGGCTCCCAGTTAAGGGCAGGTGGGCACATGCCACGATGATTTCCAGTGCATCCAGGAGGACTCTCTCCCGTCCTTCCCTGGTCTCTCTGTCTGGCCCCTCATGGCCACAGAAATTAGACTGAGAGTAAGGAGAGCACACTTGAGTGTTGTAGGGATGGTAATTCCAGCAGGCAAGAAAGAAGTGAAAGCCATCAATGTCTGTCAAAAATTTTATTTTTTTCATATCACACAGAATGATGTTAAAATAAATCCTCAGTAATATATATTTATATACTTATTTACTTGTGTCAATATTTACAAAAGACTGTGGAGCTCTATGAAGTCTATGTACACCCATGATCAGGTGGACAGGCAATGTTCATTGAGGCACATATGTACACATATATGTATAACCTATGTACAAATATCAGACCCTACTGACACAGGAACTCTCAGCTGCAGAAGTCTTGGGTGGGGCAGTGTTGGTGGGGCTGAAAGCTTCCAGAATATGTCAGCAAGAATGATAATATCAATACATCCTGTGCAATGTAGTTACAGCTGGTGTCTAAATTTTCATGAAGCAAACAAATAGTTAAATGACTCCCAACTCCCTTGAGTCTTCCCCACAAGTCCTGCTCCGCCTTCAGTTCTCATTGGTCCCCAGCCTCTTATCACCATGGAGACCCCAGTTCCCTTTCGGCATCATCCTTATGAAGCTTTACCATCAGCCTTGGAGTTCCTTCTGCTATTGATCCCAAGGAGGCTTATTTATCTGCCTCTTTGAGTTTTCAGCAATTATTAGAGACAGGACATGGGAGGGCAGCTGCAGAGTCATGCACAAGCAGCAAGGAAGCCAGTGCAAGCCCTAATTGGAGTCTGTGCTGCGTGAGACTAAGTGAGCGGCGGCCATTTCCACTACATATATATATATATATATATGTGTGTGTGTACATATATATATGTGTGTGTGTGTGTGTGTGTGTATATATATATATATACATACATACATACACAATATAAAATCTCCGGAGACAGCCTATATAAGCATATAAGCACACAGGTCTGGAAAATAAAATAGCATCCTCCACTCATGAGCTTTACAGCTATGTCCCTGATGAAAACTAGAGAATCTTCCTTGATTGCTGGCACCATTAATCTCAACTGTTCCCAGATTATCCTTAGTGGAGAGAGGGGTGCAGGGATGCAGAAAACCAGGAAGAGGCCAATTTGGCTGGGGTACTGTTTGCTCAGCAGGCTAGAGCTCGATCATGGGACTTTCCAGCTTCCTGGGGCCCTTCAAATGAAGGAACCATCCAAGCACGACAACAAAAGGAAACTGGGTCGCTGGATCCCACGTGAAGGCAGAACTGGGGCAAGCACAGAGCATGTTCAAACCCTCAGGAGCTGAGACTCACCCCCGCCAAAGCCAGCCAGCCCTCTCCTTCTTGCTTTGCTATCCCCTTTCTTAGCCTGGAGCTGATATGCTCCTTTCCAGCCCCACCTGGCAGGTCAAAGTCCTTGCCCTACACTTTTATAGGCTAAAAAGGCAGTAATGTTAGCAGCTGACATGGAAATTGTTTGGTAGCAAAGTGCACCCCTGAATATTCTCTTCCTCCTAGCTCCTCCTATTGCTTTCTCTAGCAGCCCGGAGTGTTTATTCACTCATACAAACAAGGCATTCGGTGTCTAGGGAATCATTTTTCAAGGAGAAGCAGGGCTTAGAGGCCTCTCACAGAGACTCAGAAAGACACAGGTCTGAGTCCTCTGTATAGCTACCAAGGGTCCTAGCATACAGTCACATCTATGCTGCCCTCAGTGATCTAGACACTGCAGTAGCTGTCCACATTGTTACATAATCATGCCCTGTGCATCCATCAGTGGAATGATGCAGGGAGTCCTCAGCTGCAAACTCATCTGGAACATATTTGACTATTTTAGGAGTGCAGAGGAGCACAGAAAGTTATATCCATTTCCATGCTGAGGCTCATGAAGTATAAGAAGTAGCCATCCAGACAGGCCACCTCGACTGCCTCAGTTCACCAGCTAGTCATGCCAAGTCTGGGCTATGGGCTTCTGCTACCTGGTCACAACTGACATAGCCAGACTGGAGGGCTTCTGTGGGTGTGGGGAGATGGCAGACACCCCTGCACCACCTCAACTGCTCCAGATACAGTGAGCAATCCCTCCCACTCCTATCCAGGTAGAAAGTACACAGTCAAATGCAAGAGGTGAGGCTGAAAGAAACTGTCTCCCATGGATCTAACACACTGGCAGGCAAGAGGGAGAATGAGAGCAGGTTTCAACTTGCACCCGGCCGTTTCTTCAGTGATGTATACAGCTTGCCCCCAAAGAGGCAACTGAATTTCAGCCGCTCTGATACCCAAACCCTCAGCTTAGGTTTAGTCATAATAAAAAACAGAATGGATTTGTTAGTTCCATTGATTGTCACAAACCTCACCTTCTGTGTGGCAGAGATGTGCTTTAGTTCTTCATTGGAATATTACTTTCAGATCTCGTGAACCTCAAACCTAGGGCACCACCAATGAGAAAGAGAACGCTAAATAGATCAATGCTTTGCCAGGTCTTCAAGCTCTCCACTCCCCTCCAGTACAAAGTTTGGAATAACCTTTCTGGTCCTCAGTGATGAGGTTACAGCCAACCACAGCAGACAGAAGAAAGGCTAAAGCAGCTAGCTGTTAGATCAGTCTTCCCTTTTATCCCTGAGTCAGGCAGCCACGTGGGAGGGAAAGGAAAGAGGTGATCCTAGGCCTGTTCTTTTTTTATGAAAGATTCGCCTTCTAGAGAGGTGCCTAAGCAGAAAAAAAAAAAAAAAAAAAAAAAGAGTGGAACTGGAGAGGTGAAAAGAATGCAAAGGAGGTCATTCAAAAAATGCACATAAATGTAGTTTATTCCTTGGATTGCCAAATTTATTCCACATGAGTAAAACTAAGGAGATTGGTCAATGTGTAATTCTGTAATTTAAAAAACAGTATACATATATACATATACTATATATATATATACACACACACACAGATATATGTATATATGGAAAATGTCTAATAACTCAGGACCAATTAACCAAACTCTTGATTGACAAGAATTATGTCTTTTTACTATACTTTCAGTAGAAAGACGCAAGTGACAGCAAAGGCTCTATCTGATGAGCCAGGATGTGCCCCAGTGGCCCATTTCCAGGTCTGTATTGTAACCAGCAGCCATTCAGCCTGTCTCTTTGGTCTTCTCCATCTATCTCTACTTCTGTACAATAAGCACTGAGGTTTAGAATGTTGACCCTGAACAATGCAAGGTCTCCTGCTATCTTCAAACATTCTACTTATCTAAGGCAGGAAAGTTTATACTAACCTACTTAGGAAATATTTTTCTCAATAGCAAAGGTTGAACCAGGCATGTTTTCCCATTCCCACTCAAATAACCAGAATGTTCCCGTCCCTGAGGTTTCCCATCAGTTAACTGAGGTTTTGCTGTACACATGTGTATAGAGCAAGGTAGATCAAAAAAGAATGGAATGGGACCCTGGGGTTGCCAGCCTTCCCTGATTGTCCAGTCTGAACATTTAACCTCACAGATATTTTAGGAAAGGGGACTCTTCTGCAGCCCCTGGTTATGTGTGCAAATATTTGTGCAGCTGCACACTCTAGCGGGTCGTAGTCTTTATTTCACTTATGTCATGCCCTAACCACCCAAACTTCTATCCCCGTAGACTTCTACTGAAACCAACAAGAACTTGCTTCCTTCTGCAGCTCTCATGGAGTCCCTTTGGTTGAGCAAGTCAGCTTATTTTGAAGGATAGTTAGAGGGCAATTCCCAAATCTGCCCAGGCTACTGATCCCAAGTGCAAACCTCCAGGCCACATTCCCTCAGCATCCATCTCCCTGGGGAAGGGAGGAAGGGTAGCAAAAGGATCAAGTAATGGCTTTTAGTGCATGGAAATGATCTTCTGTAATGGCTCAGGATGCTTTATTCTTATATTGGGAAGCACTCTCCTGTAGGCTTCCATTACACCTGCCAGACCTAGGGAAAGTCAACAAAATGGGCTGAGGAGGTCACTCAAACTTAGGAATTTTGTGCCTAGAGGTTGTAAGGATGCTGTGTGACAGCAGGCAGAAATGGGGAGGCAGAGAGAGAGGGGACAGAGACACACATGGAGACAGAGAGGTGCACACAGGAAAGAAACAGAATGACAAAGCCCTCTTGCGGGCTTTCATTGTGCATACACTGCACCTCAGCATATGTGTCCATTCCAGAAGGAGGTCAGATCTCAGAGGACAGGAGTCACATAAACACGTGGGAAGAAGAGGGAACTACAGAGACTGTGAATGAGTGCCCAGAAGTCAAGGGCACTATCTGATAATCCAGGTACTATCTATCACTTTTCAGTCCTGAGAGCAAGATTTTGAAAGAGCTATTGCTAAAGAAAACAGTCACTATTTATTTTATTGCACTTTTCCTCTTTAAAAATATTCAGACACAAACTATGAGAGATGAAGCTGAGATTTGGTGGGAAGGGAAGCAGAAATAAAAAGTAAACTAGGTTAGTTTGAGGAAGGAACCCTTCCTGTGTATAGGGGAGCCCCTACCTCCATCTGTCCCTGCTGGCTGCTTTGATAGGGGAACAGGGTTTGTCTCAACAAGGGCCAAGTCTGAAGATGGAGATGATAGTCACAATTGCTACTGAGACAGTTCCCAGCATCCCCCTCCCTGTGGGTTGGCTCAAGTGGGCTGATGATGTTAATGAGGTTAAGGTCATGGGTTCAAACCTGGCAATGGATACCTTGCCAAGGCTGGGGGAACCTCCATTGTGTAACCAAGGAGCACCCTGGACATTACAGCCCTCACAGACCAGGCAGCCATCACGGACATATAGGTTGTTAGGACAATGGGCCCCAGGAAAGTCCTGGGGAGTAGAGCTCAGCACCGTCATCCCCTCTCTTGACTAAACAAGTCAAAGCACTGTGCTCCCCTGCCTGACATGGGGGTAGCGGTGCCACCTTCATATGCAATTTGCATACTGTTCTATAGTTTCCTTTGGGGAAAGTCAGATAGAGGCTGACTTTCAGATAGATGCTGACGTGTTGGCGTCTTTCAACATGGGTTGACACTGATAAAGTCCTCACCGCAATACAGTGAGAGATCTAGGAAGCACAGGTAGGACAAGCTAGTCCTGAGCCCTCCCCACATACAGCAGCAACATGAACACCCAGGCTGGGGTCTCCGGCCATCATAGCTTCCATGGGAGCCCTGTCCATACTAGGCTAATGCAATCTAGAGGTACACTCCCAGGGGGTCCCTTTTGGAAGGCTAACCTCCTGGTGACTTGCCAACACCAGCCTCAGAAGCCCAGGTGAGAGGGACAGAGGTAAGCAGAGAAGAAGGAAGAGAGCATGTCAAGCATCACTGAGGTTTCAGGAAGCACAGAGCCTTAATTATTTCTGAAGTAAATGTTGGCTCCTGAAAAGTTTACTCTGAAATTTGACCAGCTCAGCTACTCTCTCTTCCTGACAATCCCTCCACCATTCCTGGGGCCCTTTCTTTTCAGCCTCCTGAACACTCCAACTTTCCTGAAAATTCCAACTTTCAGAGGCACTTGATGAAGCCATCAGGAATGGTATCTTGACTTGGAAACACAAGTTTGCAGCCAAGCACAAGTTTTGGATCCACACATCTGTTCCCTGATGTTGTTGCCTTCTCTGTAGGGACTGGGAGCTGTGAGCATCACTGGAAAGGAGGATGAGACGCAATGGGAATGGCTGCAGGAGCAGATCCTGATCCGAGGCCTGACTGCAACTCCTAACTTCCAGTGTAGGTGAAGCCTTTGCTGAAATGCACTCAGCTCTCAGCTAGTCCTACTGAGGGGAAGAACTGGCTCCAAGAGTAATCCAAAATAGTGGTGAATCTTAGAAAGTATTTAAATATGGTCTTAGAATATATGATAAAGTCAGGCCTTCTAAAAAGTGTTTGCTTGTTTAGCCTTAGGTGTATGTTCTTAATCACTTTTTACTTTAGCTGAACTGGGTTGCATAGTAATTGGATGGGAGGCAGGTCATCGGGGGAGCCCAACAAGAGGGAAGGAAGAGCATGCCTGGGCTTGAACACCCCCAGAGGGGAATCAGGAGTTGGCCCCTTTAGGCGTATGCCCAAGAGCAAGTGAAATGCCACAAGCAAGTAAATGTGGCTCATTTTAAGAGACAGGTCACTATAGGGTCTCAACTTCCTGACCTAGCCCCCCAAAAGCTGCAGAAGATGGAGGGGCAATAAGATCTGTGGGCTTAGAGAATGTTGGGGACATCTTCACCCTTGTCCTGGGCTCAAGATTCTGCAGTTTCTTGAGCCATTACTGCTTTTAAGAGAAAAGGGCTGAATCTGGAGACCCCAGGTGATGGGAGTAGGGGAGCCTGGGCTATTGTGTTGTCTGTGTGGATCTGCTGGAAGGAAGAGTCATGGCAAGGAAGCCTATATTAGGCTGCCAGCTGTCCCAGATACTTCCACGCCCTGTAACCAGGTTTCTGGTGGGAGGAAGGTGAATTGCTAGAGGCCCCATGCACTTCCTGGTCTTCGTCAGATATCTGCTTGATGTGGTGGCTCATCCTTCTGCTTGAAACCTCAGGAGTTACTTTTCAGGACTGAAATCTGGTGGTGAGAGAAAAGACTAGAGAAAGAGATTCCTTGAAGGATACTGAGGGATATAGACACAGGCCAGGGAGAGGTGACTAAATCTGATCTTTTTTGTTTGTGCCTGTTCATTCATAGCTCTGGGGGCAGAGCAATGTGTCTGAGTATATGTCTGCATTTTATCTATATTGTGTGATGTTTCTGGGCATGTGTGCGATGCATTTCGTGTGCCGATTATAAGTAAATGCATTGTGTATATATACTGAGTTTGTGTGTTTCATGTGAAGAAACAATAGTAAAGTATCCTTTGTGTATTTTACATGCATATATATTGTGTCCTTGTAGTTTTTTATGTATTTTGCATCTGAGTTGCAGGCTGTATGTTTGTATGTGGTGTATGTTTGTCTTTTGTCTATGTTATGTGTAAATTATGTATCTATGCAGAGTGTGCATATTTTGTAGATAGTTATAACCATATATCTTCTGTGTTTGCTTTTATGTTAACTTGGTCTGTCTGTATTTTGCACGTGTTGCATGTTTTATACTTGTGTGTGGCAACCGTGTATCTATTTTGTGGTGAATGTGCATGACTGTGTGTGAACATTTTAGAGTCCTGGGCCAAGAACACTGTGATACGATATCTACCTCTGACCTAGGCCTCAGAATGGGTTGCTTTACCTTCTATTTTCCAAAGGTCTGTGTCCCTCCCCACCCCATGCCTTGGAAATTCAGCACCACCTCCCATGAAGGAGAGGAAGAGAAGCACAGAGGCTTTGTGCTGGGCATGGGATAACCTGCAGATACCTGGGGATGTGGGTGACCAGGCACTAATGAGCACCCTGGGCCTAGCACCCTGAGCTGGTGCCCCATGCCCCAAGACAACTGTAGGTGCTAACTAGGCAGCAGTGAGGCCTGGGCCGGAGCCACTCCTGCATAGCCCAACCCTTGCAATTCACTGTTCAGGAAATTTAAGCCACTCTGTCAAAAGACAAAGAAGCCAGTGTGGTGAGTAAAAAGCCCCCAACCTGAAGCCATTCTGGGGTCAAGCTATTGTCTGCCTTTGAGCTGAGCAGTGCTCATTTGCACTCTACCTGTTCTTGGAGGTGGGAAATGATTCTTTATGCCACTGGTTCATTTTAAAAAGCAGTTCTGGTTGCCAGTTCAATGGGAGGAGAGTTTGGGTCTGGAGATCAAAATGATGCCTTTGGATCATCTAGGGACTCCATCCCTTAGCTCTGGACCTCAAACATTTCCACATAGAGGAGGCTCCCTTTAAGCCCAGATCAGTGGAATTTGGTCCCAGGGAGTCTTACTCGTTGGTGTCCTTGGTTTCAAAGCAGGGGATCCATTCTGGCTCTTTAGGGAAAGGTTTGTGAAAGTGACAGATGCAGAGCCAAATGATAATAAGATCCAAGTGGCATGAGAAAAGGTGAGAATGGAGATGATGAAGAGGATAGACTATACAGAGGAGGCCCGGGGTGGGTCTGGCCCAGGACAGCTGGAACTGTGAGGGCCACAGGGCCCTTGTGCACTCAGTAAGACAAGCTTCAGCCATGGGAACTGAAGCTGCAGCACATGGAGGGCAGAAAGACAATTCTAACGTCTAAGAATCCATGGATACCGGAGTGTCTGAGGCAATGGCAGCAAACCCAGGCCCAGTGGGGTTACCAATGAGACAGATTAACCTGTTAGGCCTCTTAGAAAGCCAAGCCACCAAGCAGTGGATTTGCTCCTGAACCTGAACTCCAGAAAATGAATATATATATATATATATACACACACATACATATATATATATGTATGTGTGTGTATATATACATATACACACATATTTATGTATATATATACACCCTAGTGCACATAGTCAAACACATGCATAAATTGCCCTGTGTCAAAAATATTGCATAAGCTTGTACAATGTTCAAATGCAATTTTTTTTCTATCGCTAGCTAGGTAGAGGAACGCGTGAAAGAGAGATACTCGATATATATTTATATACACTGAATCCACAGACCTGCCTGTCGTCAGGACCAGATGCCCTGGTCCACTGGATAGTCATGCCCATGACTAGATCAATGCTAAGGTGCAGTCATGTGAGGTGTTCAGACGCTGCCTTCCCTGCCCACTCTCCTGGCTTTGCAGAGGTCTGCATTCCCGTTTAGAAGAACAGGGATAGGTAGGCTGGGGGGACAGAAGTTTTAGTTCCATTCCAAATAGTCTATGGTTTTTCCCCTGATGGAGGGATTTTTACCTTCTGATGGGAAAAAATCCCTAGTTCAAGACCATTTCAAGGCTATTAATACTCTAAATATTAATACTGTGTAGGCTACTAGGAAAATAGGTTATCTCCTGTTTTAAATATTGAGATTCATGCAACAAACACCCATGCAGCTCTATCGCATCACTGGTAAATTTCACTGCAGTGTCAGTGTAGCTGGGCCACATCAGTAAGAAAGCAGATGTCTGCAAACTCTAGTAAGAAACCAGACATGTTTTTGTGACCCTGAAGCCTGCAAAAATGGTGAAATCAGAGGCTTAGAGGTCCGTTGGTTTGTTAGCTTCTCCCCATAGGCCTAAGGGAACAAATGTGAAACTTGACAACTCATATTCGGTCATACTAACTGTCCCTCCCCCGGGCTTCCTTCACATCGACACTGCAGAGAAAAAGCAGAATGCAGCATTTTCCGTTATGAAACACAAGCCTCCGGAGCGTCTACTTGGCAACTGCAATTCACAAACCCCAGCCTGTGACACAGAAAGTAATTCCAACACACAGGACTGTGTGTTCTTTTCAATGCGAAAATGAGAATGACCTTTTGAATAAACACCAGATATTTAAAGCTAAGCCATGATTGTGTTCCTCTGTGAAAGGGCAGGTGGGCTCAGATGGGGTGGTGGGATGGCAGGGAGGGGAGTGCATCTCCTGGATGTTGTGTGCATTTAATTAGGAAGGAATGGTGGCACTGACAGGTGCACCGTGTATTGGGTATGTGGTGGCCTCAATGTGTCTTTCTGAAATCCTAGCTTGATAGGTGACTCCCATCTTTGGAAACTCATAAGCCAGTGATGAGGATGTGCATGAAAGCCATGATAGATATTCTGTGTCCTAAATCAAAAGTCAAAAGATCAAAAGTCACTTGCACAACTATTGCTTTCCATGCAGAACCAGATACACACTGTAGAACACACTGACTACAATGCAGGCTATTATGCGACATCTGCATTAGTTCCATTGAGCTGTGAGTATGGTAATAGGTTTCAATCAGACATCAGTTAACATTTTGGTAATATTCACATAATTTGTGTTAGCCAAGGTACAGTTGGCTGTTTTCAAGTTTTCCTCTCTAAAGTCCTCATTACTGTTGTTTACCCCCTCCTGGATCTCCATGTAATCAGACTTACTAATGGTAGAGGCACTTCTACTTTTCTTTAGGTCAGGGGAGGATGGGATCTTTGGACAGCTTGTCACTTGCAAGTATTGGGCCTGCTCCTCTCCCTCTGTCTCCCGGTGGTAGAAGTAGTTGAAATTGGACACAATGACAGGGACCGGTAAGGCAATAGTTAACACACCTGCAATTGCACATAGGGAACCCACTATCTTCCCCCCAATGGTAGTCGGAACCATGTCTCCATAGCCTACAGTTGTCATGGAGACGACTGCCCACCAGAAGGCATCTGGGATGCTGGGGAACTGGGACTCTCGCTCATCGGCCTCTGCAAAGTAGACAGCACTAGAGAAAAGGATGACCCCTATGAAGAGGAAGAATATCAGGAGGCCCAATTCTCTCATGCTGGCTTTGAGGGTCTGACCTAGAATCTGGAGACCTTTGGAGTGTCTGGACAACTTGAAAATCCTGAAGACTCTTACCAAGCGGATGACACGGAGAATGGCCAGTGACATGGCCTGCTGGCCTTGCTGAGCGTCCTCTGGCTTCTCAGCCAACTCTGTCCCCAGGGTGATGAAGTAGGGGATGATGGCCACAATGTCAATGATGTTCATGATGTTGGTGAAGAAGCCGGCTTTGCTGGGACAGGCAAAGAACCTCACCAAGAATTCAAAGGAGAACCAGATGATGCAGAGAGTCTCTACAATGAAGAAAGGGTCTGTGAAGGAAGTCGACTGCTGGTACCCGATGGTGCTGTTGGAATAGGTGTGGAAGGTCACCCCGCCACCATGCATGTCTTCATTCTCATCCCGGAAGATAGGCAATGTTTCCAGACAGAAGCTGACGATTGAGATCAGAATCACCATGACAGACACAATAGCTATAATCCTGGCAGGCCCTGAGCTTTCTGGGTATTCAAAGAGAAGCCACACTTGTCTCTGAAACTCATTTTCAGGCAGAGGACGCTCTTCCTCCTTGATGTAGCCTTCATCTTCCCGAAACATCTCCATCGCTTCTTCTCCCAGCTCATAAAACCGAATTTCTTCAGAGAATATATCTAAGGGCACATTCACAGGTCGCCTCAATCGGCCCCCAGACTGGTAGTAGTACAAAATGGCATCAAAGCTAGGGCGGTTCCGATCGAAAAAGTACTCATTTCGGAGGGGGTCAAAGTACCTCATTCGCTTCTTTGGGTCCCCTAAGAGGGTCTCTGGAAACTGGGCTAAGGTCTTTAGCTGGGTCTCAAACCGCAGCCCTGAGATGTTGATCACCACCCTCTCACAGCACTCGTGGTCTGCCTCTGGGTCATAGGTGTCCTGTGGGTGCCCAGGGAGGGCAGCAGCCTCATCTGCTGGGTCTCCGGTGGCCACTGTCATAATTGGGACTGAGAGAAGTGCCTCACGCTATGCCTTTCAGCTGCCTGGCGGCAGGGAGCTCAGGATGCTGCTACTGGCCCCAGGAAGCACAGGAGCATTGGCCTGGGCTCCTGCAGGAGAGCCCCGAGAGCTCTCTGAGAGCTGGAGAGACAGCCTCGCTTGGCTGAAAGACAGAGGCAGTTATTGACATGAGACTACTCAGCATTGGCAGCCTGACCTGGATTGCCACTTTTTGTCTCCCATCTCTCAGCCAAGAGTTCAGAAACGTGATCACCACCACCACAACGACAAAGCAAAATTTACTTTCACCTTGTAACTTGTCTGGGGATCAGTGGGAAACAGGTAGCAATCTCTCAAGGAACTTCTGGAATTCCCTGCACTGGGGGAAGGTGGCTGGTACAGGCCCCCTGGTACCACACAGGCTTTGTGGAGCATAACCCCATGCTAATAGGTTAAAAGTGGACCCTCTTCCCGATGCTGCACTAATGTCTTATACCCAGGGAGGTATTCATGGTGGGAGATCTTGGGCCTGGGTCTTCCTCATTGGCCTCCACCCAATGATTCTACGCAAGGCTGTTATTAAATGATAGATTGATTTACCTGACCAGACAGGAACCTGAAGCTCTCTTCCTTGCAGAGCTGATCAGAAGCTGCGGGAATGTTAGATGCACAAACAGGCAGCCCAACTCCCCATCACATCTTCTCACTTGAGCTAGAAATAATGGTGAGTCATTCTGGGCAGGAGGGCAGACTCTGGGTCCTGGAGGTGAGCTCTAGGACTGGGCTGGGCTGGATGGGCGGTGAGGTGCCTGGTCAGGGGCATGCGGGACTCGACAGCCGAGCCTGTGTCTGGAGCCTTTGGACCGAAGGAGGCAAGATGCAAAGCTCAGCAAAAGCTGGAGTCCTGGCTGTCCTCAGGAGGTGTGACGTTGCCTGGAAAAAAACAGCAGCAAGGTGGAACCAGGGCATTTGGGCAGCTGGTGCCAAGATTTAGGAGGGTCTGGGAGCTTCCCTTATAGAAGGTGGCAGGCGCCCATGCCCATCCTCCATTCTGATGCCAGGCCTGAGGACTATCCCTCAGCCTCCCTGACTCTTCTGTGCAGGCTTCCCATCAGCTTGAAGCACTTTCTTCCAGGGAGCAAGCCTCAGGTTTAGCTAGGCCTGCCTTCTCCAGGGGCCTCCCTGGGTTGATCCCGGTCCTTAGTCCCCAGCTGCTCTCAGGGAGTCTGGAAGAAGCACCCCTACCCCGCCTTGTTAGGACACAGCATCTCCCAAGAGAAGGGCTTAGCTCACTGCAGCCTGTCTACAAGCTCTGACCTCAGCCAGTCCTGGAAAAGAATCTCCCCACCCCCCGGCACACACAGACCCCTTCAGGGCGCATCTAGGGAGACCCCACACAACAAAGTCACCACTGTACGGAAGCTGGATGAACTTACTCTCCCTCCGGGATCCCTGGGCCGCAGGCCTCTCTTTGAGCTGGGTGGCATTTGAGCTGGGCAGGTGCTCGACCACTGATTTCTCCCCCAAGAGAAAATCCCTCATATCTCCTCAGCAGGGAGCACAGAACAAACGCTCAGACTGCCTAGCTGCGAGGCGGTTTGGCAGCAGCGAGAGGGGGAGCCTGAAGGAAGCAGGCTTCCGGACTGGCCCCCTGCCGACCCAATCCCGCCGGCCCCAGGGCGGGGAGGGGTCTGGGCCCTCTCCCCATCGCCCCGGGCTCCGGCTGGGATTCCGTCCGGCGCGCTCACTGCTCGCCTCTGCGCTGAGGACCAGACCCTCCCGCTGGCCGCCGCCGCTAGCGCCACCTTAACCCCCTCCTGCCCGCGCGGTCGGCTTTCGCTGCGGGCCCGAGCGCCGCTCAGCTCTCATGCCCCCCGGGTCCAGCCGAGGGACCACCGAGGTTCAGTCTCCACCCAAAAATCCCGGAGCCTGATCTCTGGGCGTGGGGAGTAGCCTGCGCCAGGCTGCTGCCCCAGATCTCAGCTTCCTTTTAAGCACCGGGGCTCCGCGGCAGCCCACGGCCCCAGCGAGAAAGGGGAAAGCCCTTCTCTGCAGCAAAGCCGTTTGTTATTCTGTGCCGGAGAGGCGGATGCAGCCCGGCCGTCCCAAGTGCTTCGTGTCCTACCAACCCGCGCTATTTACCAGACACGGTTATGCTGCCAGCTGCACTTCCCACCACCCACCAGCTCCTCCCTGTACCCTCCGCCCCGCGCCACGCACGCCCAAGAGGGTCCAGAGCCCATTCTGTGCACTCTTCTTGAGCAGGTGCAAGTTCCCCTTGATCTCCCCGGTCGGGACCTGCTGAGCAGACTGCAGTGGTCGGCCACCGCCTGCCCGCCCGGGACTCAGCCCGAGCCTGCTGCGCTGCAGGCTGCGCCGCCGGGTGCCCCGCAGCCGCTCTGGGCGCCGCAGCCGGGCGGGGAGCGCCGCGCAACGCCCGACACGGATTTACCCTTCCGGATGGGCACCGGGGCCTCCATGTTCCTGGGCTGTGGCCAGCGCCGGCAGGACCCGGCAGCGGGCGGCGGCGGGGTGCGGGCGGCCAGCCGGGAGCCGGCTCTGCAGTCCCGCGGGCGGCGCGTACGGAGCGCCCGGCCGCCGCCCGCAGCCGCACCGCGCCACGCAGCGCCGCACCTGGCCCGACGGCGAACTCGAATTAAAGGGGCCGGCGGGGCGGGGGCCGGGGCCGGGGCCGGGGACTAACCGCCCGCCGCCGCCACCAAGCTCGTCACCTCGTTGGGCCGCCGGGTCTCAGCTCCCGCCCTGCGAGGGAAACAGTCTTTGGCAGAGCCGGGCTTACTAACCAGAAGCTCCAGGAGAGCTCAGCTGGGGGCTGCCGGGCCGGGAGATGGGGGAGGGCAGAAGTTGAGGAGCGCTGGTGAGAGGTTCCTGCCAACGTAATAAAGTAGGCGAGGAGGAGATAATCAATAGCAGCTATCCCAGGCCCACGGCGGGATTCAGCCCCGCGGGAGACGTGTGGCTATTATTGTGGTGCCGCCAGACAGGCTCTGCAGACCCCTTTCTTGTCCCTTCTCCCGCCGGCGAGCCCCCTTCTCCAGATCGGCTTCCCACCCCCCTGTTACCCAGCAAAGACCTGGCTTCGCAGGGAAATGCAGCAGGTGCGGTCTGCAGTGTGGCAGAAACTCTTCTGCTGTGTTCACCCCCACCGAGAGGAGCCGCAGGAACAGGCAGCACTGCAGGGCTGGCCCTCTCTGCTCCCGGACTCCCTCCCCCCGGGCACCGGCAGGGAAGGCTAGGGGACACGCTTCTGCCCTTGGGAAGGGTCAGCTACTCACACAACGGGCCCTGTAGCAGAACTTGCAAAGCCATCTGGCCCGCGGAGCTCTGGACTTGGGAGTGCAGCTTACAGCATCCTGGGGTGGGCAGACGAACATGCCCTTCGCTTTCGGGAAATGTGTGTGGGAAGCCCAGCCTGCCTTCTGCCTAGAAAGGGCATCCGAGAAGGTCCAGGGTGCTTTTGGGAGGCACACGACAGCCTCAAGCCCCTGCTAGTTCTGTTCTCCAGGTCCCTGTTAGAGTCACCTAGACAGGTGTGCCAAACAGTGGTGGTTCCTTGAGATCAGACTGGGGTAGACACGGAGCTCTGAATTCGGAGTGGCTCTAGCACCAAGAAGTCCCCACTGGGCCCTTCCCCGGCTGGAAACCCTACTCTCTCTGCTTGCACCTCACGGGGAGAGCCCCGGAGAGCCAGTGAGGCCGGACTCCAGGTTCTGGCATTTCATTGTGGTAGTCTGTGAGGTGTAGTTGAAGACTGGGAGCCTGTCCAGAGCTGCAGTGGGTGGTCTGGGAAGGCAGTGACCTCTGTGAGCCTGAGGGATGACGGATGGCTATAGAGAAGGGCTGTATGGTTTAAAAGCCCCTTGAACCTGGACTGTCAATGTCCCAGTCAGTGAATGGCTTGGGTGTTTGGGAGGCAGCCAGACTGAGACTTAAATCCCTGACAGTTACTAGGTAAGTTATTTCACTTCCCTGAGCACCAGTGTCCTCCTCTGAAAAATCAGGATGCCCCTAAGGGTGCGGTGAGGTTTTAATTGTTGAATGAGTTTAGCATTCAGCAGACATTGAATACATGAAGATTTCTCTGCTCTGCTTCCCTGTGAAACTCTCCTCCTCGTTCTCAGCCTCCAACTTAGCTTTGGGCTGTTTTTCTAGGCTCCCAATCACCAGGTCATTGTTGCCCCATTCACTCTGCTTCCCAGATTGCCCCACCCTTTACTTTCCCTGAGATCTCGACCATTCCCACCCCTCTACCAAATTGTCCTCCTGTTCCCTGCCCTATATACTTCTGAAAACCTCCCCTGACCAGCACCAAGGGGCTCTGTTTCTCCTACTTGGCACACTGGGTTCTCATGTAATTTCAAGTCAGATAGTCCTGTGTGGCCAAAGTGAGATAGTCTATCCATTTGTCCATATCTATATGTTTCCTTTGCCTTCCTTCTTTAAAACAGGAGATGTGGACAGAGAAAACCTCTGGGGAGTGGGGGGTGGAGAATCAATCAACATAATTGGTGACATGGGCTTACCATGTGTGAGACCCTGTGCTAAGCACCCCAACACAGTGTGACATTTAATCCTCACAGCTCTGGAAGTCAGTGTATACATTAGTATCATTTCATAGGAAAGGAAACTGAGGCAGTAAGAGGTGAAATCATCTGTCCAAGGTTAATAAGTGGTGACTCTATGACTTGAGTTAGGTCTTCGTGATTCTAGGACATGTGCCATTAACCTCCACACTACACTGTGCAGGTGGAATGAGCAGCCCTTGAATTTCATTTCTCTCTTTGAGATCTTCCTCTGACCTCTGCTTCTATTTTGTGACTTGGCCTCAAGGGTATGTTGTTCCCTCTCTACTCTTTAGACTTAAATGTGAACAACAACAAAAAAAGAAATTAACTAAAGAGGGAAAAACAGAAAGAACCATCATAGCAGTTGTTCAGGCACATTTCAGGACTTCTTCCCTGAAAAGTATCTTCAGTACCTTGGCTTGGCAGTGCTGTGTAAGAAAAGAACTCAGGCCCTGTTCCCAGCACTGACACTTGCTAGCTGTATGAACTTGAACAAGTTATTGACTCTCTCAGCCTCATACTGTTCATTTCCTAGTTGGTTGAATGGGAGAGCAAAAGTACCTTACAGGGTAGTAAGGACAAAATTAGCTATAAAGAAGGGACAGCCAGCTAACTTAACTGAGCTCCCTTTCCAGTTCTGTTTGGCCACACAATAACAGCCAGAGTGTCCCTTGATCCTTTCCCTGGGGCAGGGTGAAAATCCCAAAAGACCACTCCTTTCCCTTTGGTTTGGTTTCCTGCTTGAGAGCCAGGCCTTGCCTTCAGCAGAGGGAAGGGCTGTGGTGGCTGTCACAGTGAGTGATTGGTGACTCCAGTCATCTAAAAGAAGAGTTTATGACTGTGTGTGCATACATACCCACACCTACACCCACACCCACACAGAAGGACTGCAGGGAGAATCTCTTAGTTCTTCCCATTTGTGAATCTTCTCAGGTGTCACTCCCGGGGAACCAGCTCCCCTTCCTGGCATGACTGCCACCTCTGCTTGATGCTCCCCACTAGCGCACCCACCTGTGTGCTGGCACAGTCCCCACTCACCCACAGGTAGGCAGGGCAGGAGGGCACTGGGCTGACAGCCCTCCGGAGATTATTTGATTTAATTTTTGCAACCAGCCAGTGGGAAAGATACCACTGTCTCTATTTTACAGATGAAGATACTGAAGCTCAGAGAGGACCAGGGTAATTTAGCTGGTTAGTAGTGAGGCTGGAACAGAACTCAAGATTGTGTGACTTTATAAGTCACCATACTGTTCTACTGCCTGCTTTACTGTTAGCTCCACGCCAGGCCTCTGGGCTCAACTTCTGGTCTCAGGAACAGAGATTCCCCAGGGGCGTCCTCTCCTGGAAGCAACCCGATCTCATAGGCAATCTGGTTTAAAAGAGAGCTGGTGGTGGTGATTAACTGTTCATACCTTAACTGAGGGACTTGAGGCAGTGGTGCAAGAGTCAAGACCCAAAGGCTTCCAAAGCGGAAGACAAGGCAAGGCATCTGACCAGGGCAGCAGTCCGTGTGACCCAAGCTCGCTCACTGACCTTTCTGTATAGCAGTTTACTTGTAAAATGGGTAGGACACTAGGCTCCCTTACACCTTTGCTTCATAAGGCTTAAAGAGAGAGTGAGGCAGGAGGAAAGAAGGAAACGGACCTTCATTGTTAGTGTGTGTTAACAGCTCATTGGTTAGGACCACAGAGGATAATATCCATGGAGGTGCATGGAGAAGCAGAGCCTGGTCAGTGTGGAACAGGACTCTGTTGATGTCACTGTTGCTGCTGATGCTGTGGCCGCGCATCTGCCTGACGTTTGAGAGCTTCCCTTGGAAGTGGCATGGGCATCCACTCCAGCCCATTACTTACCTCCAAAGTCAAGGCCAGGCTCCTGCAGGAAGGCGTCTCAGATTAACTTCAGCTGCCTTAAGGGGCTCCTTCATGGAGGCCTGGGCCTTGGCTCCTGTCTTGAATTAGCTGCTACACAATCATCTCACTGCAAATATTGGCCAAATAAAAGAATATGTTCTTATATTACAGGGTGGCTCATGCCTATAATCCTAGTAACTTGGGAGGCTGAGGTGGGAGGATCGGCTGAGCCCCAGGGAGGTGGAGGCTACAGTGAGCTGAGATTGCACCACTGCACTATAGCCTGGGCAATAGGGTGAGAACCTGTCTCAAATAAATAAATAAATAAATAAAATAAAAGAACATGTTAAGGAATGGCTAATGAGGGTAGTCCCTCCCTCATGGTTTGGAGCTACTTCTCTGGTTCAGGCAGTGTGCTGGTTGTCTTACCATGAGGCCCCTGCTACTGTTACTCAAAGGCAGAATAGCAAACTGGTCGATGTATAGTCATGTGTCACTTAACAATGGGGATACATCCTGAGAAACGTGTCAGGTGATCTCATCGTTGTGAAAACATCATGGAGTGTACTTACACAAACCTAGATGGTATGGCCTGCCACACACCCAGGCTCTATCTACCATACACAGCCCTGGGCTGCTAACCTGTACAGCATGCTACTGTGCTGAATATTGTAAGTGATTGTAACACAGTGCTAACAACATTCACCCAGTTGCCCAAACCAGAAGCCCCTGGGTGTCCTTATT